ATTATCTGAGTGTAATTATAAAACTACATGCAAATGTCCTGCGAAACATCCATCTGGTACATTCTGCAGTGGTGAAATTGGTAATTAAACAAAATCAAAATTGTTTTTATATTGTGATTTGTTATTTTACCATTTTGTTTTTTTATCAGGGTGTAATAAAAATAATGCTTACGAGTGTCCTATACCTGGCTTCACAACATGTGAATACGGACCTCGTGATTCTTGTAAGTTGTGTGGGAAATTGGTTTGTACATCTCAACCACCACTATCTACACCAAAGCCACTATCCACAACTATATGTAAACCTGCTTGTATTAAACCTAACTCTTGTGTTAATGCAAAATGTGTATGTCAATCATCGAATTGTCCAAAAGGACAAACGTGTGATAGTAAAAGAACATGCGCTGTATCACAAATACCTGTAAATAATTCACCAAAACCAAAATGTAGTGATACAAAGACTCGAAATATTGTAGAACAAGTTTGTGAAGCTATTTCTTCATCGGCAAAACCTATTTCTTCTATAGGTAATTTGCCATTAGATGCTCTAGAAGCTTTTGGTGCTTGTGAAGAAATAATAGCAGGTGTTTCTGCTGCTGCAATATTAACAGGTATAGGGGCTTTAGCTACTTTTGGTGGAGGTCAAGCCGTGTGTATAGCAATAGCAGAAGCAGTAATTGTTGTTGATTTAGAAAGTGCATTATGTAGCACTACTTGGCAAAAATTTTGTCAAATTTAAATCAAATATTTAATAGCTATATTTTTATAAGAAATTTACTAACTTTATCTATAGGGCCAGAATACCCGACATAATGTTTATGTAATGCCATATATATATTAAGGGTAAAGTTAGGTTTAGAAATATGTGTGATTATATGTAAAATTAGGTGCTGAACAATTTTACTTAAGATACTTACATATGGTTATCTTAGTAAAATTTGGAGATATTAATGATTTTTAATTTTTTTCTTATTTCAGGTATTATACCCACCTGGTACAATAGTAATTCTCTTTTATAATTATATTTTTTATTTAAATATTTAAGATTTTTTCCTTTACAGGTTTTTTTTTCTCTTAAATATTTATGAAATTGTAAAATATATATTTTTAAATAAAGAAATAATTGTGTACATTTACTAGTTCAAGAGATTTTACCAATATTTTAGAAAATGAAGATATTGAAAAAAAGTAATTTCGTATTTATGGGATATAATAATGATAACTGTATTTACTCTAGATTTTTTGTTGTTATACGAAACCATGTGATGCTAAATATCATTTGTCATAAAATACCAAGACCTAAAAATTTAATCTAATTTTTATTAAGATTTGCTATGTGACATTTAGCATCATATTGTTTCTCCTAACAACTATACTCTAGATCAAATGCAAGGTAACTGGGGTCCCTGCCAGAACACTTTTCATTCCCATGGAGAAAATCACTCGAAGCAAAAGAAGACACCTGTAATTTGTATTATTTATGATTCTGTAAAAAAAAATGATCATATTGTATGGGGTGCTATTATGCACCGGAACTGGGACAATATTCATTCAGATATATATTTATGGTGTTCTTTCTGCTCAAATAATAATCACAATACTGGTGACTGTAAATTTAAAAAAGCAATAAAATCGAAAAAGAAAAATTTAGATGCGGCAAATGTTCTAGAAAATTTAATCCGGTAATTCATTATGGATTCCATTTCTACTGGTTTAATGATACTTCCTATTTAAAGCACCTTTTGCTTATTTGATTAATTGTTTACAACTACAAAACTAAACAGTTAGTTGGTATATGATTGGGGCAATAGTTGAAGATTACTTGACTCAATACTATGGCTGATATTGGATATTTTGGATATTAGCAGGATACAACTCAGCTTTGCTTTTGCTTATCCTTTTTACTTTGCCAGAAACTTTTTATAAACCAATTAATCTAACTCCTAAATCGCGAAGTTGTAATCCTTTTTTACCATTACGCCTACTCAGTAATTTAAAGGTTACCTTGACTCTAATTTACCTTGGAATAATGACTCTTGTCATTCATGCTCAGGAGATCCTTATAGACAAAAATTTTAATCAAGTATACAATTTTAAAGACTTTGAGATTGAGCTTGTATTTCTAGCCCCTACTTTAGGATACATTCTTGGTGGTTAATAGGAGAAGGGGCCTATTGGGCCTATTCAGCGGTTCATGTATTATATATAAATTTAGGGACAGCAAGCCTTTGTTTAGTTTAGTGAATTTTATGTATCAAATGAAATAAAAGTTATTAAACTAAATAAAGGCTTGCTGTCCCTAAATTTGTATATAATACATGAACCGCTGAATAGGCCCAAGGTCATGTTTATCTTACAGAGACACAATACAAGAAAATATTTTTTCAATTGTTTGATTCTTTTAGTTCATATCATAAAAAATATTATTATTAGACTGCCGTCAATAGAAATAATACACGTACTATACAATTTATATTTTACAGATCACATTTCTATATTGAAGTTTATAAAATAGAAGAGATATGAATTGCAACTAGTTCCTTAAAAATCGCCTGCCTAGAGCGGATCTTTATCACAAGATTTCACGGCAAAGACCTCATAGACAGACATTTGTCTGATTGGCTGATGTAAATCAATTGACTGGGAACTTATTTATACAGTTTAAAGTACATTTTGGAAACGCAATGTTTCACTACAGCACTAACCGCAAAAGCCATTTTTCGCTTCGTAAGTGCGTTTATATTCACTATGCAAAAATAATCAAAAATAATCAGTAACTACAAGAACTTCACTTAGAAGCGAATTTTCCTATATATTATATATATATATTATATATAAACGCTATATAAGTACTAAATTCAAAAAAAAACGGTCTACTAAAAGGCGATCAAGATGCTCTACTGTAAGTTTTGGCAAAGAGCTTTGTATTTACTGTTTAATTATTATGCCAATAATGGATCTTAATATCTTCTACATGTTACAAAGTTTAGGTTGTTAGATCTTAAGATCTCGTCGCATTCTTACAAGTTACAGAGTTAGATCTTTCGATCTCGTTGCATTCTTACACTGTGCTAATATGCGAAATTAATATTGTATTATTTTTTTTATTTTATTTTATTATAATTTATTTAATTTATTTATTTATTTATTTGTAATTTATTTATTTAATATTTTGTAAAGATTAAAATTACAATAAAGATTAAAATTACAATAAGGTTAAAAATTAGTAAATATACATGAACTTATTGAGATTGAAATTTTTTTAATGCTTCTTCTAATGTGAGTGCTTTATATCTCACAGGTACAACTTCGTTATCGTCATCACAAGTATTCTTTT